TGAAAATGGGGAAAAAATGGGGAAAAATCGGGGAAAAAAGGGGGAAAATGGGGGGGAAATCGGGGAAAATGGGGAAAAAACCGGGGAAAAATCGGGGGAAAATGGGGAAAAATGGGGAAAAATGGGGAAAATCTGGGAAAAGAACGTACCGAGAAGAGCGTGGAGTAGGCGGAGAGCGCGAATTTGATGCCGTAATAATAAAAATGGGAATCGCGGCAGGTCCGGGCCATCCCGGCCGCTCTTCCCGGCTCATTCCCGGTTGGAATTCACGCCGGGAATTTGAACTTGGCCGATTTCCGCCAGGCGGGAGCAGCAGATTTAACCCTTCCAATGCTCCCGGGGATGGAAATTCCTGCCGGGATGGAGGGAAAAGGGAATTTTTATCCCGGGATTTCACGGGATGGAGGTGAGGCATCGCCCCGCGCTTCCTCTGCCTCTGGAATTCTTTTGGATTCCCTCGGGTTTTGGGATATTTTGATTTTTCCTGGGATTATTTTGATTTTTATTTTTTTTCCTGGTTTTTTTTTTATGTTTCCATCCAGGCGGATCCGGATGGGAAAGGCTGGAGAGGTTTGTGCTGAGCTGGGGTGGGACAGAGCAGGGGTGGGTTGGGATTTTGGGGGGATTTGGGGATTTTGGGAGATTTTTGGGATTTTTGGGGATTTTTTGGGGTTTTTTTGGGGTTTTTTGGGTCAGGCCACTTTCCCTTTCTAACCTCCCTTCCCATCCATCCAGCTGTAAAATTCCCTTTACCGAGAGCTCCTTAAATTCCCTTTTATTTCTATTTTTATTTCTATTTTTATTTGTATTTCTATTTCTATTTTATTTGTATTTCTATTTTATTTTTATTTGTATTTCTATTTTATTTTTATTTCTATTTCTATTTTAATTTTTAGTTCCATTTTTATTTTATTTTTATTTCTATTCTTATTTTTATTTTTATTTCTATTTTTATTTCTATTTTTATTGCTATTTCTATTTTTATTTCAATTTTTATTTCTATTTCTATTCTTATTTTTATTTCTATTTTTATTCTTATTTCTATTTCTATTTCTATTTCTATTTCTATTTCTATTTCTATTTCTATTCTTATTTTTATTTCTATTTCTATTCTTATTTTTATTTCTATTTCTATTCTTATTTCAATTTTTATTTTTATTTCTATTTCTATTTCTATTCTTATTTTTATTTCTATTCCTATTTTTATTCTTATTTTTATTTTATTTTCCCCCTCTTTTCCCCCAAGGAATTAAAATCCAATTCCCTTTCCCTGCCAGAGAAGGAGAAATTCCGGCAGCGGAAATTCTCCCGTTCCACCCTCGGGGATGAACGAGCAGAAACCGACCCGGAATGATCCATTTATCCCATTGATTATCCCATTGATTATCCCATTGATTATCCCATTGACTATCCCATTGATTATCCCATTGATTATCCCATTGACTATCCCATTGATTATCCCATTGATTATCCCATTGACTATCCCATTGATTATCCCATTGATTATCCCATTGACTATCCCATTGATTATCCCATTGATTATCCCATTGACTATCCCATTGATTATCCCATTGATTATCCCATTGACTATCCCATTGATTATCCCATTGATTATCCCATTGACTATCCCATTGATTATCCCATTGATTATCCCATTGACTATCCCATTGATTATCCCATTGATTATCCCATTGATTATCCCATTGATTATCCCATTGATTATCCCATTGATTATCCCATTGATTATCCCATTGATTATCCCATTGATTATCCCATTGATTATCCCATTGATTATCCCATTGATTATCCCATTGATTATCCCATTGATTATCCCATTGATTATCCCATTGATTATCCCATTATCCCATTGATTATCCCATTGATTATCCCATTGATTATCCCATTGATTATCCCATTGACTATCCCATTGATTATCCCATTGATTATCCCATTGATTATCCCATTGATTATCCCATTGATTATCCCATTGACTATCCCATTGACTATCCCATTGACTATCCCATTGACTATCCCATTGATTATCCCATTGATTATCCCATTGATTATCCCATTGATTATCCCATTTATCCCAAAAAATCCCGATTGGAAAAGGATTTGAGGCTTCGGCGCCGCGGGAGGGAGGTGGGAGCAGCCCGGGGTTCGTTCCTGGGTTGTTTTGGGGTTTTTTCCCGGTTGGAATTGGTTGGGATTTCTGGGATTTAATCATTAACGGGGAATCGATGCCGGGAATGAATCATTGGGGAAAAGGGAATGGGAAAAGGGGAAAAAAGGGAGGGAAGGGGAAAAGGAAAGGGGGAAAAGGGGAGGAAAGGAAAAGGGAAAAGGAAAAAAAAAAAAGCTGACAAACCTCCAAATCCCGGTTTGGGGGCGGTTCCCAATCCCAAATCCCAGTTTGGGGTCGGGTCCCAATCCCAAATCCTGGTTTGGAGGTGGCTCCCCATCCCAAATCCCAGTTTGGGGTCGGGTCCCAATCCCAAATCCTGGTTTGGAGGTGGCTCCCCATCCCAAATCCCAGTTTGGGGTCGGGTCCCAATCCCAAATCCTGGTTTGGAGGTGGCTCCCCATCCCAAATCCCAGTTTGGGGTCGGGTCCCAATCCCAAATCCTGGTTTGGAGGTGGCTCCCCATCCCAAATCCCAGTTTGGGGTCGGGTCCCAATCCCAAATCCTGGTTTGGAGGTGGCTCCCCATCCCAAATCCCAGTTTGGGGTCGGGTCCCAATCCCAAATCCTGGTTTGGAGGTGGCTCCCCATCCCAAATCCCAGTTTGGGGTCGGGTCCCAATCCCAAATCCTGGTTTGGAGGTGGCTCCCCATCCCAAATCCCAGTTTGGGGTCGGGTCCCAATCCCAAATCCTGGTTTGGAGGTGGCTCCCCATCCCAAATCCCAGTTTGGGGTCGGGTCCCAATCCCAAATCCTGGTTTGGAGGTGGCTCCCCATCCCAAATCCCAGTTTGGGGTCGGGTCCCAATCCCAAATCCTGGTTTGGAGGTGGCTCCCCATCCCAAATCCCAGTTTGGGGTCGGGTCCCAATCCCAAATCCTGGTTTGGAGGTGGCTCCCCATCCCAAATCCCAGTTTGGGGTCGGGTCCCAATCCCAAATCCTGGTTTGGAGGTGGCTCCCCATCCCAAATCCCAGTTTGGGGTCGGGTCCCAATCCCAAATCCTGGTTTGGAGGTGGCTCCCCATCCCAAATCCCAGTTTGGGGTCGGGTCCCAATCCCAAATCCTGGTTTGGAGGTGGCTCCCCATCCCAAATCCCAGTTTGGGGTCGGGTCCCAATCCCAAATCCTGGTTTGGAGGTGGCTCCCCATCCCAAATCCCAGTTTGGGGTCGGGTCCCAATCCCAAATCCTGGTTTGGAGGTGGCTCCCCATCCCAAATCCCAGTTTGGGGTCGGGTCCCAATCCCAAATCCTGGTTTGGAGGTGGCTCCCCATCCCAAATCCCAGTTTGGGGTCGGGTCCCAATCCCAAATCCTGGTTTGGAGGTGGCTCCCCATCCCAAATCCCAGTTTGGGGTCGGGTCCCAATCCCAAATCCTGGTTTGGAGGTGGCTCCCCATCCCAAATCCCAGTTTGGGTGCGGTTCCCAATCCCAAATCCCAGTTCGGGGACAGTTCCCAATCCCAAATCCTGGTTTGGAGGTGGCTCCCAATCCCAAATCCCAGTTTGGGGGTGGCTCCCAATCCCAAATCCCAGTTTGGGGTTGGTTCCCAATCCCGAATCTGAGTTTGGGGGCGGTTCCCAATCCCAAATCCCAGTTTGGGGGAGGCTCCCAATCCCAAATCCAGGCCTAGGGACAGTTCCCAATCCCAAATCCAGGTTTGGGGTCGGTTCCATTCCCACAGCCCACATTCCCACATTCCCAGCTCCCATTCCCACATTTCCCATTCCCACATTTCCCATTCCCACATTTCCACATTCCCAGCTCCCATTCCCACATTTCCCCATTCCCACATTCCCACATTCCCACATTCCCGGCTCCCATTCACACATTCCCAGCTCCCATTCGCAAATTTCCCATTCCCACATTCCCACATTCCCACGTGCCCACATTCCCACATTCCCACATTCCCGGCTCCCATCCCCGCATTCCCAGTTTTTTTGGGAATGCTGCCATGGGGCGGCTCGCGAGCCTCGGGACCCGGCCCGGACCCCTCTGGATCCCCCTGGAAACGCCGCGATCCCGCCTGGAATAAACCTCGGGATCGGCCTGGCCTCAACAACCCACCCGGCAGCGAAGAATTCCAGAAGTTTCCATCCCCAATTCCTCCGGGATTTACCTGGAGCGGCTCCTCTTCCCGGCAAAACCGGGATTTGGGATCTTCCCCGGGCGATCCCTGCAGGAAAAGCGGCGCTCCCGGCAGAATTCCCGGCAGAATTCCCGGCTGGAGCAGCAGGGCCGGGATGGTTCCGGCAGCTTAAAAATCCCTGGATACGAACCGGGAAAATTCCCTGCTCCCACTTCAATTAAATTCCAGCCGCCGGGAGAGGAGGGGTTTTCATGGAGAGGGAATTTTTGTGGAAGGAATTTAATTTCCAGACCTTTTTTTTTTTTTCCGGGATGGGTGAAGGAAGGAAGCCGGGAAGGGGGAGGGGTGGGAAGAGCTTTTCCATGGGGAAATGAATCCAAGGTTTGCTTTGTTCTCCGGGGATGGGAAGCGCTGGGAGCGATCCCGGGGCTGGGAATGTTCGGGAGGAATAAAGATAAAAATCAGGGATAAATTAATCGGGGATAAATGAATCGGGGATGAATTAACCGGGGATAAAATCATCATGGATAAAATCATCATGGATAAAATGATGGATAAAATCATCATGGATAAAATGATGGATAAAATCATCATGGATAAAATGATGGATAAATTAATCATGGGTAAAATCATGGATAAAATGATGGATAAATTAATCATGGGTAAAATCATGGGTAAAATCATGGATAAAATCATGGATAAATTAATCATGGATAAATTAATCATGGATAAATTAATCACGGATAAATTAATCATGGATAAAATGATGGATAAAATGATGGATAAAATCATGGATAAATTAACCATGGATAAAATAATCATGGATAAAATGATGGAAAAAATAATAATGGATAAAATGATGAATAAAATGATGGATAAAATGATGGATAAAATGATGGATAAAATAATCATGGATAAAATAATCATGGATAAATTAATCATGGATAAAATCATGGATAAAATCATGGGTAAAATCATGGGTAAAATCATGGGTAAATTAATGATGGATAAATTAATCATGGATAAAATGATGGATAAAATGATGGATAAATTAATGATGGATAAATTCATCATGGATACAATCCCGGAGCTTTGCCGTTCCCGGGATCTCTCAATTCCTGCTGCTTTTCGGCCCCCCAAAAGCGCACGGGGAGATTTGGGGAGCTGGGGGAGGGAAAATCGGGAATGCCTGGAAAGGCGGAGGAGCCGCTTCCAGCGGGAGCTCGGAACCGGCAGCGGCGGCGGCGGGGCCTGCGGAGCCCCCGGGAGCGGGGAGGGGACCGGGGGTCGGGGGAAGGGACCGGGGAGGGGACAGGGGGACCGGGAGGGGACCGGGAGGGGACCGGGGAGGGGACAGGGGGACCG